TGAAGTGGCATTTAGATGCATTTACACACTGTTTAATGCAGGACATGAATGCATTTAAACTGCAGTTACAAATGCAGAAATAATGTTTTGATATATAATACATAAAATGATGAATATTCATTTGAAATTATAAAAAAAAAATTTTTTTTTTTTAATTATCAAAAGATACTTTAAATGTGAAATTAAAATCGCCAGTAGGTGTCAGCAAGTCACTGTTAATAAGTGAGTCACTGCGATCGAACCAAATCATTTAAACGGTTGATTTATTCAGGAACAAAACACTGCCATTGCTCAGAGACGCAAAACTGTGCTATGGTGGCTGTGTTTGGAATTATTTTTGTTGTGAGTTCAACTTCAGCAGAATACGACAGGGTTTCGATCTCAGATGGGTCTGCATCATAACGCCTGTCCTGTCCGTCTGCATCTTTCTTGTGATTTTCGCGCCAGTTTGCTCTCCTGCCTATTATTTACTGCAGTAGTTTCCAGTGAGCGATTTTTTTTTTACTCAGTAATTAATGTGTTTTAAAATGTAACGAAGTACAATACTTCAAACTAAATATACTTAAGTAAAAGTTAAATTACAGATTTTAAAAATTACTTTAAAAAGTAGAAGTACACAAAAAAGCTACTCAATTACAGTAACGCGAGTAAATGTAATTCGTTACTTTCCACCTCTGACCATCACAATGTTTCACTGTAGACATCGTCCGATGCCAATTTGGTAGACTGGAAAAAAAATCTATATGTAATCATGCTGATTTTTGGAGAAAAGACCAATATCACTCTTTGTGTGATATTGATTTACTATATGAAATGATATACATTTTCTGCCCCTATATCTTAAATTTTGTGATCATTCTAAATGCACTGAATCACGCAGTGAAAGAACGCACTCTAAATGCGTGCGCGCACTAGTCTAATCTACTAGACTTCATGGCACTCTGTAGGAGTGTTTTGTTTGGTTTTTGGCAAAATACTGATAATGTCAAATCGCACATCGTTAAAACAACAATTACGATATTATCGCAGACGATATATATCGCACACCCTGCACCACTGTCTTTTTGGCTAATTTGTGCAAAACCTCTTGCTAAACTGTCAAAGCTTCATTTTAACCACCAATGCAACGATGCAAGTATTTACCTTACCTCTACATGCTTGCGAAGGGTTGATTTCGAGATTTTATAAGCTGCTAGTTTGGTCTCCCTAGGCAAACACAGCATACACTGCATAATAGAGCTTAAATATGGCCAGGGGTTCACTTCATTTCCTTCGAGTTCAACTTCAGCAGAATACGACAGGGTTTCGATCTCAGATGGGTCTGCATCATAACGCCTGTCCTGTCCGTCTGCATCTTTCTTGTGATTTTCGCGCCAGTTTGCTCTCCTGCCTATTATTTACTGCAGTAGTTTCCAGTGAGCGATTTTTTTTTTACTCAGTAATTAATGTGTTTTAAAATGTAACGAAGTACAATACTTCAAACTAAATATACTTAAGTAAAAGTTAAATTACAGATTTTAAAAATTACTTTAAAAAGTAGAAGTACACAAAAAAGCTACTCAATTACAGTAACGCGAGTAAATGTAATTCGTTACTTTCCACCTCTGACCATCACAATGTTTCACTGTAGACATCGTCCGATGCCAATTTGGTAGACATCGCCCAACCCTAATTTATACTGTGAAAAACAAAAGCCAGCTAATGCTCTAAAATTCATAAAGCTCACAAAGAATATAATAATTCTTCAAATGTTTTGCTCACAGTTGTGATGGTCTCGGCAGTGGCCACCATGTCTGCCAGTCCAGCACTGATGATGTGCTCTTCCAGGTCTTTCAGCATGGGTTCAATCCCATTGGGCACTTTATCCATGAGAGAGAACATGAGGTGCAGCTCTGTGGAAGAAGAGTTCAGAGGTTTAAAACTAAAAGCTTATGTTTAGAGATATAATTCAGCTACACAGTATGCAAAGTCCGACCTCATGAAAAACAGAGTACTGTTCAAAAGCTTGAGGTCATTACGTTTATGTGATAAAATAAATTTGTGCATTTATTCAGCAAGGGTATAGGAAATTACAGAGACATTTATAATGCTACACAAGATTTCTATTTTAAATAAATGCTGTTCATGTGAACTTTCTATTCATCAAAGAAATCCAGAAAAAAGTATCATAGTTTCCACAAAAATATTAAACAGCACACATTTTCAAATTACTCTTGAGCAGCAAATCAGCATATTAGAATGATTTCTGAAGGATCACGTGACACTGAAGACTGGGGTAATGATGCTGAAAAATTAGCTTTGCAATCATAGGAATAAATTACTTTTTAAACTATATTCAAATACAAGACAGCTACTTTAATCTGTAATAATATCACAATATTGGTGTTTTACTGTATTTTTAATCAAATAAATGCAACCTTGTTATGTGTAAGTCCTAGCGACCCCCAAATTTGGAACAACAGCGTATATAAAACCTAAAATTGTCATTTTAAATATATCTAATAAAACATTTCTAAATAGTCTCATACTCACTGTCAGTCTCATTTCGTTTGATCATGCCAGGACACTCAGCCAAGATAGTTTCTTTAAATGACGTTACCAGTGCATTCACACAACATTCCATAAGCTGAGGGGAAAAAAACAATCGACAATTTCAGTCTCACATATACCTGGTTATATTATTTTATTTTATTTAAATTAAATATGAAATACTGAACAACTTAAAAATAATAATACTTTTAATATTTTCGCATGTAAAAATACAAAAATATTTTAATGGCTGATGCCCAATTTGATGCAAAATTGTTCAATTCAATCTTTGTCAAATGATGTATTATTATTATTTAAAAGCCAATCATATACTCACTGCTTGTACAGAGTTACATTCACGTCTTGTCTCTAAATATCGTAGTGCACGTTTTTCCTCTTCTCTTAATTTAGAGTCTGCCTGTAAACAGAGACATGAGAATATATGACTGCAAACACAAATGCAGAGTGTTAGGAGGAGTCAAAACGCTCCTCTCGGCTATGCAATCTGATTTAATCTGATTGGCTGAAGATCATGTAGTCTAAAATCTGATGTCTGGCAGGCCGTACATATTTCATGTAGTTTTGTACTCCATTCTGCTGCAGGTAGGACGGCGCCTGGGTCCTGTAGAACCTCTCAGTGGAGTCTA